TGGAGATTTAATCTGCTTTTGAAGTATAAGTCTTGAATTAATATATTTGAAGGTGGGAAAATGTCACCTCTCCCGTCATAATCTGCTGAAGGACACAGGATTAAACCTGTTCTTTTTCTGCACAAGCTGCTCATTGTAATCACAGTTCTGTTTTACATAATTGATCTATGTTACGTACTTATTCATGTGCACCGGCCACAGCCAGAGATAAATATCATACATTTTTAGAATGTTGAAATTTAGAATGTTTGTGTATTCTGACTTTTCTCACCTCGTCCGTCTTTGGTCCTTTCACAAACAGCAAAGGGAACTGAATGCAGAGATATGCAAGGCAGGCCAGCTGAGGCAGACTTGCGAGTAGAGCATAGTATTTATAGATCTGTAAACAAATAAAATATGCTGTCCTTTAAAGTATCAGTTCTTTCAATTGTAACGTGATGTAATCACTGTTTTTATACAAACCCAAAATGTTATAAAATTATCAGTTACTAAAGGACTTACTAAATGACAAATCACAAAAGTTAAACAACTATAACCAGACTTGGCTGTTCCCATCTTGTTTGGGTTTTATTTCTTCCAGCTTTTGCACTGTTTTCAAACTTTTTAACTGGACTAGCTTGTGTCTGCTACAACTAGAAGCAAGATCAACACTGTACAAGCATGTCATGAAAGTGAAACATGGAAAGGAAAATCTTTGGGATTGGTTGAGTTGTTGCCACAGTAGCTTGTTCATGCACCTCAAAATCTACCATGAGGTTGCATAGCAACAAATGTCTTTAAATTCAGCAGATATTTGAAATCTGTGTAGGATTTTTTATACCAATTCTGACGTTGAAAACAGAAGGGCAACATCAACTTTTAAAGAAAGTATTCTTCTCAGATATGAAATTCATTTGTTTCCCTTAAACATTATACATCAGTATTTTTTTTGTTGGTATTTTACCTCTGGAGTCTTTGGACAGTCAAATTTCTGCCACACCAGGACTCCAAAGTGAGTGAAGGAGAGCAGTGTCCCAAACACATAACCTGCTTTGCGCTGCAGAGTTCCACATACCAACAGAGGATAATACAGGATTGGGTAATAAAATATGGCGATTATCTTCATGTACTCTGGAAAAAAAGGACCCAAAAAAAGACAGGGCATATCAGTTCCTAAAATGAAACCTCTAATCTAATCAGTATAGACAAAATGGAAAAACAAGGACTCTCTAGAATCCTCCACGTGAATAATCTGATTCATAATAATAAAGGGATAATAATAAATGCAGTGTGTGTTCAAAAACCACTGACTGGCATGATAATCAAACCACCATATAACTGACGCAATTACAATCTTCATTACAACTAAAGAACAAACAAGCATTCAGATGTCTACCTTTAATATCTGCTGGAGTATCTTTGGAGAAAGGCAGAGGGTCTGGGGTGATCACCAGCATTGCCAGCTTGCTGAACACCAGTCCAAAAACAGCCATAACCACTCCTTTTTTCTGAGTCTGATCCAGGAAGTTGGCTGGACTGTGATATCACACAGGGAGGCTCAGATAACATGAGATAAATGTGCAGTTAAATTTGTATTTACCAAATTTACCTGAAGACGCTTGAGGATCCTCTTGCGAAACCCTGGCAGAATTTATTTTTCCTGGTGAGACCTGCCAGGATTAACATGATCACCAGCTAGATGGAAGGACAAATTTTTAGATCTTCAGTTACGCGTCATACAGTTAATGCCACATCAGTGATTGTCATTATATACTAATACAGTAAACATTTTTTTACATTACATGCTGTAAACGCAACTTTAGGCTAGCTTGTTCTAAAAAGTTTCCTTTTGTCAAAAGCTGCCCCAAAATGTTGGCAGATTCATAAAAAAAGACTGTTTGTAACACACTTGTAGACAAGTGTAATCGAATGCTTCCTTGAAATGATAGGACAATCTGATTAAGACAGGATTATGACATTCGTTTCAGGTACAAATGGTGAAATGCAAACGTTATTCTTCATATGCTGTCGTGTCACTAAATGATAAGGCATTACTGTGCCCCCTATCTTTCAGGGCTAAGTTGTATTTGATTGCATTTATCAGTTCCGGTTATTCTCAGCCTTTGCCAGCTCCAGGAGCTCATTAAAACTTCAACTTTCCAAAATAACACAGCACTGTAGATATGTCAGGAACTGACCTATAAATCAGAAGAAAATAACCTTGTTTGGTAGAAAACATATTTCATGACCCACCTCTAATAGTTTTTCAGATTGTTTACCGTACAATGAAATTGGGTCGTGTCCATTCTATACACAGTAGAAGGATTTTTATGACTGAGTCAGTTGTGTTCATTCGTAATTGGTTGAAGGCTAAATGACAGTAAAAGTCCCTAAATAGCATATCCTTTGGGAGCAAAGACAACTGACGGATTCCTGGAAAATGCACCAAAGGATGTACTGGGACATGAACCTCTCTCATCCTCTCATTATGTTCCACTTAAAAGGAGAATAGTTTAAATGTTCAAGCTGTGTTGGCAGCAAACATTCAAATCTAGAATTTTAGCTGATACTGCATAAAAATTTCTTGGCTTGTGAGTCAGAGCTGACCCCTGCTTGTTATGTTTGTTTGCAAAAAGCTATCTTAAGACTAAGATGACTAGCGGATTACATTGGTGACAATGTCCACTTTTTTAATACAGTCTATGATTGCAATCAACTGCTTAAGCCATGCATTCCCAAGAAACTACAAAGTTATCAGTGTTTCTCTTGTTCATTCTGCCTTACTGTAGAAACAAGCAGTGTTGGGTGTAACAGATTACAAAGTAACA